CCTTTTCCAGTATTTGACCACACTTATGGTGAGAAAGGTTTTCCTTAATTTGAGCTGGAGTTTCCTCTGCGTCAGTTTGTCTCCAGTGCCTCTTGCCCTCTCACTGGGACACCTCCTAAAAGGGTTTGGCTCAGCTTTCTCCACACTCTCCCATCAGCTATTTGCAGACAACAGTGATGTCCCCCCTCCAGGCTGGTCACACCAGTCTCCCATGGCCTCTCCATCTTGAGCTCCAGTGGCACCCATCCCGGGGGCCTCCTCCAGGCTCACACCAGTCTCTCACTGGTTTCTTGCACTAGGGAGCCAAGATGGGACCAGCTGGCCCTACAAGTTGTCCCTGAGGAACATGAACAACCGGCATCAGTTAGACATTGTACTGCTGACCACGCTGAACACTGTGGCCCAGCCAACTTTCCACCCACCCAGTAATCCTCTTCTCCAGCCCCCATGTCTTCAATTCCACTATAAGGAGGAAGCCTTCCTAAAGGCCAGATGAACACTCACTGCTCTCCCCCCGTCTGCACAGCTAGCCACCTCCTTGGGGTATGCAGTGGGATAGGTCCCCAGATCTTCCTTCTTACCCTTCTTGAAGACAGGTGGGACATTTGCCTTTTTCCCCTCCACAGATCACCAGGACTTCTCAAAGACGAGAAAGTGCAATGGCATCAGCTGGTTTCCTCAGCACCTCCAGACGTTTCCCTCAGACTCTGCCATTAGGCTTGGGGCCTGGCAGGTTTGAAAACAGACCTCACCAGCCAAAATGAAGACAAGAGCAGCACCAACTACGTGGTCTTCTCCATGTCCTTTGCCACCAAGTCCTTTGCTCCATTAAGGAGCAGGCCTGCATTTTTCCAAAGTCTCCTGCTGCTGCTGAAGCCCTTCTTAATACAAAAGCTGTTCTTTTTGTCCTTCACTTACTTCTCCAAGTCCAACTCCAGCTGAGCTTTGGCTCTCCAAACTCCAGCCCTGCACACTCAAGCCATGTCTGTTCCTTCAGGGCTGCCTGTTCCTCTTTCTACTTTCTGTGCACTCCCTTTTCCCTTCCCGCTTGCCCACGCTACCTGCCCACCACACTTGCCCAACTTCCTCCAGAAGAAGGTCCTTGGATTTTGCACAGCTCTGGCACATAGAATAGTTTAGGTTGGAAAAGACCTTTGAGACCATCAACCATTAAACATGTTTCAGTCTGCTCTTAAATGCACACTCAGACCAGTGAGTCCACCACAGCTCTTGCCCTGCTCCCACCAACATGGTCTAGGATAGTGTAGGACAGCTTAGTCCACAAGCCTAGTCACGTCAGCACCGGTTTGGATTCTGTCCACCTTCCATGAGCCTTGCAGGAGTCAGGCAGCTTGGGAAACGCTTAACTGCTCTGCAAGGGTGTCCCCACGTCCTCCACCTCGTAGAGGCTCTGCCAACAGCTACCTCCCCATCTGAGCCTCCCTGAACTGCCCCCAATCTACGTTTGTCTTCTCACCTGGAGAATCATCTGCTACAATGATGTGAAGCAAAAGAGTAGAAGAGCTCGTTAGTTTTTCCTCCAATGAGACAGAAGAAAGCATGCCATGGTTTGCACCAACAAAACCTCACTCCGACACCATCGGCTAAAGAAGTGGGCTTAGACCCCAGCTTAGAGCAGTCAGTCCCTCTAACCTGGGGGAGCTCTCAACCTTCTGGAAGCCAAGCGAGCCTTTGGCAGGCTGCAGCAGTCAGGCAGAGATGGTCTCAGCCCCTCTCCATCCCAATGCCATCCTCCAGCACGCCCCCAGGACAGCATCTCTGGTGCTTGGGCTGGCTGCCAGGCCAAGCAATTGGCTGGGGCAGCGATGCTCCTGGGATCCACACCAGCCCTGGCTTTTCACTCACAGTCCAGGACACAGCTTTTCCAGCACCCGTAACAGCACTGGGGTCAAGCAGAGATGGTTCTGACCACATTCAGGCTTGAGATACTGCCCTGGACAGGCATCCTTGGGAACGGGCTGGGGCATTGGTCTGCAGCCCTCCAGAGCAACTCCACCAAAGGCAAACCAGAAGCTTGCAAGAGAGGGGACACAAGCAGAGATTCCCACCCAAGGCAAGTTCAAATAAAAACCAGGCTGCATAACAGGACCATTGACTGAGCAAGCACGAAGAAACCAGGTCAACTGAGCAGGCTGTGAAGTAACGCACCGGGCTGACGGAAAAGGAGGATGGCCGCAGGGTGACTGCTCCTGTCCCCACTAAAATCTTGCTTGGGTCTCTGGAGAAAGTGCAGAAAGCTGCCCACTATAAATGACCAAGTCCATTCCATGCACAAGAACACTGCAGGTATCTACCACGTTAACTAAACAACGCTGCTTAGGAATAATTTCCTCAGATAAGCACAAGAAGCCACCAGCGGTCCCATTTGGAGGCCAGGCTCATCTCCCCAGGCCCACTGTGACCAGCGAGGCAGGAGCCACTGAGGAACACACCACACCACCAGCAGATCAAAGACCATACCTGCAGCCTCTGGACAAGCAGGGTCTCCTCCTTTCAGCCCACCATCAAGCTGTTGTTCACAGGCAGCCATTCCCGCCAGCTCCTCTGAACCCCAGGACTGCTGGCACCACATGCCTGGGGTCGCTGGGACCTGGGTACGAGGGCACAAGCTGCTGCGCAATGGAGGTCTCGGGGCAGTGCTCGTGCAGACAGAGGGAGTTTTCTACCAGAGCACGCTCGACGCTGCCTTGGGGGACCATCACGAGGGCACTGGTTAAACCAAAGCCACCACAACATCTTTCATGCCCTGCTCGTCAGCAGCAAGTTGAGCCGCAGGGTTTAGGAGGTGATGGTGGTACAGATCCCAAGGACACCTTCAGTTTTCCAGCTCAGTTCCAGCTTGTTTTACACAAAATCGCAACTCCTTCAGAGCGCTGCCTGTCTGAAGCACCTCAAGGCTCCCTGTCCAACTGCCAAAGCACTTGAGGATTTATCTGCTTCTGCAGCGACCTGGCTCCCACTCACAGAAGCGGCCCTTACATTGACCTCTCCCACCTGCCAAATGAGCCTCCAGCCTGCTCAGGATTCCAGGCATCAGCCTCCAGACAGCTTTTCTTGGTAAGTTTAAGGGCCATCTCTCAGCACCAGAGGTAACCAGTCACCAAACATCTCGTGAAAATTAAGACTAGCAACTCTCATGCTTTTTAAGATTTCCTTTGTTATTCCTTGTGCCATGTGCAGCGACTCCTGAGGTCAGCGGTACTATCCTGGAGTTACACAGCATGCAGCTACCTGCCTGCTTCCTCTCCGTTGGCTCTCCAAGCTGCATTCACAGGTAACTAAGATACACACCACGGAAACTCCACTGAAGTATCAGTCCCACTTCCCAGAACAAAATGGAAATGGTATTCCTGCTACCTAAGCCATCAGCGGCAATCGTTTAAACTCGCAGCCAAAAACCAAACAAAAGCAACAACTGCTCCCGCATTATTTGTG